CTTTGAGTATGNTTGTGAATAATAAATTTTACACACAAAGAAACTCATAAGTTCACGGTTAGCAGAGTTATTAATGTAATTAATTTTGATAAATATTTTATTACATGATAAAAGTTTTCATCTTAATAGCAGATAAATAAATTTAATTAATTTCAGAAAGCAAATTTATAGATTTATGAGTATATTAGTTTATTGAATTTGTAATTTTTATGAGAAGAATATATTTTCATAAAGCAAATTTTTGTCAACAGGACTTGTGATAATCTTCGTTGTATCAAATGTGATTTCAAAGTTTCATCCTTTGATAATTTTACTTGGAAAAACACAACAGATTATATTTTTTTAAGAAACAATATGCCTGATTTCAATAAATTAAAAGTGAATTTAGAAAGTAAACCAGGTATTGTAATTATTACATAAATTTTTCATTTCAATTAATTTTACAGTAAAGATCATAGATCCTTTCTATATTATTGTCTCTTTTCTAGGATATCGGGCATATAGTTGTCAATGTCAATACTGTTCAGTAAAAGACCTAACTCCAATCAAGACATTTACAGAACTTAAATGGGTGTGTGGTCATCACTGATTTTTATTAGTTTATGCATGTAATGATGCAAGGTGATGTTTTTCTATGTATTTATTTTCTCTCTCTTCAATGAAATACTTGATACAATGAGCACTAACTAATATTTATGAGTACAAATTTTGCAATAATATCAAAATTTCTGTGCACACTGATTAATGTTTCAGTCTCTATTTTCTTTGTTTTATTCATGTTATGTCTTTATTTACTAGAAAGATGCTATTTGTTTTAACTTAACTGTGCAGTTTAATAAATCTACATTATAATTGTCAATAAAAAGATCTATAATTTCTTTAATTAAAAGAACAATTTTATTTTTACTTTATTTTATGGTAAGACAACATTTTATTAACAGAAAACAAATAAAATAAAGTTAGTTAAGAAACAAATGTCTAATAACTTATATATTTTCTTATATCATATTAACTTCTGTTGTTTTATAATAAATGAAAGTGCTGATTAGGTTATTCAATATAAACACTTATTTAGGGGTAAATGTATGTTTTGTAGAACATTGGTATAATGATTGGATTAGCCAGAATAGGCTTATCAGATGAAAAATTGTTTTGCACAGAAGACTACTACATGTTTAAATTATTTGTGTTTTTACTTCAAGCCTATTCAAAGAAAGCAGCTTTTTTTATTGTTTCATTTAGATACCATATGGTACTATTATGCTGGAATGTATTTCAGTTGAGAAATAGTAAAAAATCTTGTCCTTATTTATGAGAGATTGTCAGGAATGAGGTGTACTCATAAACCAGTGTCATACTGTATATTGATATTAATATAAATATTATATTACGTAGGATATATAATAAAAATGTATATTGACTTGCAAATATCATACACTGATGCATTTTGAAATTATGAATCAGATAGATTAAAACTTATTCTTAGGAAGAAATGATCTTAAAAATATAATGAAAATATTTTTCATATCAAGTCTTAAATAATTGCAAAAATTGTAAGAAATGTTGCATATTTCTTAAAATTGTACAATGGTATATCCAAGAGTTTGAGAATAGGAGTAATACTCAAGGCAGATTTGGGACCAAAGCACATAGTAGTATTTCAGAGAATGTTACTTAGAATTACTTTAATTACCTAATTGAAGTTGTGCAATATTTACTTTTATTTTGAAGTAATCAAACTTTGTTCTAGTATCAAGAAGGCCACTTGATACCAGAGTAATATCAGCATAAGCCCCTGAAATTGTATAATAGAAAAAAACTATTATTTATGAAATTATATAATGTATGAATGAAATAAATAATTAAATTATTTTTTCGTTTTGAATTTAAAATGTAATTGAATTTTTGAACAATGTAATAAAGTTGAAGTTACATTGTAAGATCAAGCAATAAAAATAAACATTTAATCTCTCTTTGTCAATATTAAATTATTTTGTAGATCATTCCTTTATTTCCAAACTGCTTTACTGAATAAAAAATAATTCTGTTCCAGTATCGTAGATTAAAGGTAATAAGTTTAAATTCAAAGATTTTCTGTAAGGTAAAATGTTTTTGAGCTTTGACAAAAGAAATTATATATATATAATAAATTTTAAGAAGAAAAAATAAACACTGTAACAGTCAATAAATTTTTAAATTTCAAACATGTTCTATTTCTAGAGGGGTATAAAGTATTTTTATTCAGGTTTCAATGACAAAATATTATCAATTTTCTTTTTTTATTCCAATAAAACAGTTTGGAGATGTAGTTAGCTTCAAATAGGTGATCAGATTTCAACACAATATATTTCCTGACTGACTGTCATTGAAATTTGGATCTTTCTATAGTAAAAAATTACTTTTAATATTACAATTATCTTAAATTCTCATTAATTGAAAAACTTAATATTTGTATCTGAATAATAACCATATTTCTGATTCACTAGATTCTTACATATTGGTACTGCATATAGCAAAACAACATTTATTTTAGTTTTGATACTAGCTATTTAATTAAATTCTATAAGTATTAGTGTTTTCATTTAATTCGAAATTAACTGAATTACAGTATTGTTGTTAACCAAGACTCATTTAACTTATATTTAGTTTATCCAAGCTGAGTTGTATAAGACTTTTGTTAACAAAAACAAGAAGAATGTAATACAGTACAATATCATGGTCCACAGATGTACTTGAAAGTTTTTCTAGGTACTTTAGAAGTTTTTAAAAAATTTATTCTGGTAACTTCTCATGACAGCATGAATTTAAAGAAATTTTAACTGTAGTCATAAATTTGTATGTGCTTTAATAAGTACAGTTGTAAATAAAATAAAAATATTTTATTATCAATGATTTATGATGATTTAAATTAGACAAATTAGATTTACATGCATAATGACTTAATGTTATTTCTTATCTGAGTGTTTTAATCATCTGGATAATCAGGATTGTACTGTTAGTATCTAATTTAATTAAATGTTTTATCTAAAAAATTAATGAGAACTCTGAGGTTAATTATCAGATGAAAACTATTAGATATTTTATTTTTGTAAAAAGCAAGTTTTTCCATTAATATCTGTTGTTCATTAAAAAACTGAGCTTTTAATGCTAAAGTATTGAATTAATAATTCCATTTGTATTCAAAAAGTTTATTTGATAGTAATGGTATATAAGAATTTTTAGTGTGTTTTGAGATATTGAGAATATATGTAGCTACTTCTACCAGTATTAAGTTAATCATGCAAATACTGAGTATTAATGGATAAGTTCCAAGCAAATTCCATCTATATACCTGTATTGTATATGTGCTTGTGTACATTAATATAAAAATATTGATTTTAATTTAATTTGGATATCATTAGAGTGAATAATTATTTTGATTTTAAGAAGCAAGTATAAAAATATAGTTAACCTCACTATATGACACTACAGTAGAGCATCGATTATCCGAATACTGGTCATCGAAAACATTGGTTAACCAAAAGCGTCCAGTTGGCAAATTCAAATTTCCGCTAGTGCTTTCGCAGCAATCTCCCCCTCCCTGCCAGCCTAAACTGTAAGCCTACTTCAATGTACTACTTTATGTAAGATATGTATTTATAAGACATGTGATAGAAAATATGTACAGTGCAGTTTTGTGTTTAATATATTTTTTCATAGATGATCAGTTATCCGAAAAATCAGGCATATGAACAACCCGTCCTGAATTGTTTTGGATAATCGATGCTCTACTGTACATATATGGAGTATTAAAGCTTGTGTAATGATGGTTTTCTAAGAACCATTTAGGTCATAAAAATAAGGATCTCTCTAATATGTTTAGTTCTGCCTGTATATTTTACAGTTACAAAAAGTGATATTTTAAATGTACTGTATGTACAGTACAATGAGAGTGTCTGCAATATGTTTTACCTCTGTGCATCTAAGAGTTAACCTAACCATTGCCATCAGGGTAAAATAAGACCTTACTATATATATTTTTAAATTATTATGTAATAATAATTATATTAATACAATAAAAATTATTATTGAAAGTTAAAAGTTTAATGAAATTAAACTATTAAATTTCATTATAATAGATTTGTTTTTAAATTAGAAATTCGTGATAAATGAAATTTAATGCAATGTAAACCAATAAATTATTACTATTTATTGAAAATGTGAAAAATAATTTTTAATAAGAACTACAATCTTGCAGAACTGTAAATATAAGTAGAGTATGATTAAAATTATGTTTAGTAAATGTTAATTTTCATCAGTGGGTTATTACATTATTTTTAAAGATTACTAATCGTTGATAACAGTACTAAGACGATAGGTGATCAGTCTACTGCTCTGGAAAACTCATGCTCAAATCAGATCAAACCTCAAATAAATTTTTGAAAAACAAACATTTGTATGCTTTGTTTAAAGTATTTACTGATTTTTACTTTTCTGGTTCGTTATAACAGGGACGATCGGTAAAAAATGTGGAGTTTTTTTCCTTTATGTATGGATGTTATTGTGTGGGGGACCACGATTTGTTCACCCTCTTTGAAACTATAACTTCTGTGCTTTTTGTGGAAAATTTCTGAAATTTTGCAGGGAGGTTTGTGTATTAGAGGATTAACGCTATTAAATTTTGGTGGTTAAAAGTCAACGGGTGTCCTGCGTCGTATTCGAGTGGGGTCGGACTTAATGACGGTTTTACTGGTTATTAGCATTTACAATTTTTTATAAAACTCATCCCTACCCTCAAAATTAAGCTTTTTGCCATTTTATAATAATTAAAAATATAAAAAGTTTTTAGTAATAAAGTATAACAGATGACGCTACAAACGCAATTTTAAATGATATCGGAAAAGTTAAGCAACTCGTTTGCTGGATTTTTTTTAACTTTGTAAAATAAAGACCTTGGTTTCTAATTGTAAAATTATAATAATAATAAAATATAATAAGTAAATAACTTTAATAAAGAATTTTTATCGTAATTTATCTTTCAGCAACACTGCCAGTATTTTTACAGCTTCCCAATTTTCTTCTCCGACTGGAATGATAAATCTCTGAGGCAAAGCAAAACCATATGTGCCTGTATCTCTTAATTCTATTGTGTATGAATATTTGACTCCAAGACTGCCATAAGCCCAATCATCTGAACCCCCTGCAGCCAAATCTGAAAAAAAGATGATTATATATAAAGAATTAATTTCGTTATGTAAAGTGATATGCAAGAATAATAATTGATACATACATAATAAATTGCTGGATGATCCTAGTGAATACTTAAATCCATGCTTTTTTTCAATAGCATCTATAGCTGGTTGGGCAAGATTTATCTGTAAATGTTAAATATTTTAAATCGTCTATATGTGATACACGATAATTTAAGTATTATACTATTTTGAATTACTTTATATATTTTATATGTGAATACAATAAAACCTCGATTTAACGGCAAAATTTCTGGTTCGTATGTCACATGTGAAAATGAAAATCCTGTTAATTTTAAAATGTTTTTTATACGTAATTAACAGATGATATTTTTTCAAATCCAAGAGTTACTCCTCTTCATGCCTTGGTATATCATAATTCGAAGACGAATAAATAGGAATTCAAATTTCAAACTTGTTTTCTTTTAAAGAATATTGTTTATTTATTTAGTTAATACAATTAACTAATTTAATTTGTATTAACTAAACAATTTAATTTAATTAACTAATACAATTTTTAAAATGTTTGATTATTTAATTCATTTGGATCGTATACTTGTTTATTACAATTTCAGAACTACGGTGAGTACATAAACAATAATACTGTATACACAAAAACTTTTGTGTAAAATTAAACTTTTCATACATACAATAATTTTAATTAGACAAAGGTACGTACGTAAGTAAAAACAGTTAAACTAATTTGTCAATTTTTTAAAACATGCATTCGGAAAATTTACTTTATTATATGACGGACTTTCTGCTTTAATGGACATCCCCTCGCCCGAATTAATCCATTAAATCGAGGTTTTACTGTACTTTATTAGAAATATGTTATTTTACCATTTCGTGGTAGGATGAAGGAAGAGTTTTTGTGTATCCCCAAGGAGTAAACCAAAATTGACCATAGGAATGATATGTTAAATAAAGTTTTAAGTTATCTTTTCTCGCTGTTAAGAAGTCTGCTATATTTTTAGTTTCAGGTTCTGAAAATGGATGGTATCCGGCAAAAATTTCTGAACAAGGTTCGTTGCTCGCACCTGCGACTATTAAAAGAAAATAATGACGATGAATAATAAGATGAATTAAATTAGTCATTCCGGACAACATGGACCTATTAAGGAAAAATGACAATATCTTTGAACGAGTGATGACAAATTTGAAAATTTTATTTCAGTGAAAGGTGTTAATTTTGTTCATCACACAGATACCATTAACTTCAAATAACGTCTTGAATAAAAGAAATAGAAAGTTTAAGGCACTTACTCATCTTGTCCAAATGTGTGGACAGGATGGTATATGAGAAAAAATGCGCGAGAGACTTTAACTACAACACCAAATTGTTTCTTTTTGTTGTAATTTGTATTTTTTGTGTTTCCCGTTATGATTCCTTCTGTCTGAGGTGTGTTTATATGCTCCAGGGCGATGTTTGAGCTGTAATGTAATGCAACCTATAATTAGCATTAACGCGTGGAAAACGTTGTCCGAAATATACGATTATTATAAATAATGTTTTTGATCTGAAATACACGTAACTTACGTTTGATGAACCTCTGAAAATTGGTACCAATGAAAAGTGTTGCAGTAGGCCTACTAATACTGCTGCTTACAACACTGATGCTAGGGGCAAAAAATTCAGTGAGCAATCAATCAGAAAATGCTAAAGAAATGGTTCCTGCAACATCTGGAAGAGAACATTCTGGATTTTATTTTCTAACAGGACGGTGCATCCCCACGCTTTCATAAAAGTCAGAAGTGAGCTCAATAACTGACTACCGAACAGATGGATTGGCTTTGGTAATCGTGATGGTGCAATTCGTTGATCTCGCGTTTCTGAACTGAACGTCCTGTATATTTTTCCCTCTGAAGTTCATCAAAGATAGTCCACATGTCACGCTCTCCACATACCATGCGTGATTTGCAAGTACAGTATTGTCTGTTTTGTCCGAAGCAGAGTGCGTAAGATGAAATAGCTAGATCATCAGACTACCAAACTCGTAGTGTTGCACATAGGAAAATCAAGATACACGTAGGCCTGTCTCAAATAAAGTTGCAGCTAGGTACTGACATTAATAATGTACTCGGCACTTTCTATAGTTTTATAATTTAAGAATAAAATTGACGACTTATTTTTTGCTGCTTATTCCGAGGTAAATAGAGTAAAATATCAACGCACACAATTTGCTGATATGGAAGACCATATGGCGCACCTACCATCATCTAGTATATTGTTTTTCAGATATATGAATAGGCCCATGTTGTCCACATGCCCGTATTGTATAAAACGATCCTGTATAAAAAAAAAACTCCTACCATTCCATTGATAACCAAAATTTCGATTGGGATCAGCACCACGACATCCCCAGAACGAACGGGTCATCGAACGTGTCTTTCTCCATAATCGATTCTAAAATATGTTTAATTTATGCAAAATTTATAAGAATTCAAAAGGACAAGCTTGCTTAAGATATGAATTTATTATTTTACCGTTGTGTGGCTATAAACGTATCCATCTGGATTAGCTACAGGTAAAATATACCAGTCGAATTCATCAACTAGCTTTTTTACATCGTCCTTAATTTCATATTCGGTAGCTAACTAAAAAATCGAAAATATAAAATACGTAAATTATTTCAAGTGATCGAGTATTCAATAACATGTCTGATATATCTTGATGACTTAAGTGGCTTAGAAGAATCAGGAGAATTCGAAGGCTTCGATTTTCTGATCCTTCTAAACTCCAACTGAAATACTCATTTGGTACAGAACATAGCGAAAGACCATTCAATTGCTAAGTAAATATCCATTTCATTCACTTTACAAGAAACTTGCTATATAAATTAATTACATTAAGCAATTTAACACTGAAATGCTACTATAAACTAAGATATATACAAAAATGTAAAAATACGCGAAAAAAGAGAATTCGTCTGTAGATTCTTCCATAGAATAAAAAATAGTTCTCGAGAAAAGTTATTGTCTTGCTACTGGTTGTACTATACTATTTTTTAATAATATAAAAATACATTACTTGAGTTGCGATGTAAAGGACAGTGGGAGGTGATATCCATTCTCTTGCGTGGATTCCTGCGTCGAGCCAAATTATTGGTTTGCTGCTGTTCTTCTTTGATCCTATCTATTAATGAAAGGAATTTTAAAATGTAATTGCTGAATTGTTCAGTTTAAAATATAAAGGATACAATTTACTTATTATTCTGATATTAGTTCTGAAATTAATTTTAATTTCAGAATCACTAATGTCGTTGTAAGAAATCCTATCTTTAAATACTCAACGGATAATAGATATAAATTCGATTCTCTGCATTTTCTTTAGATCGTGAAAGATGTATAATCTAGAATTTTATAATTTTCAAGTCAACATTTCTACGAATGTAATTATTTTACAAGATGTTTTATATCACATAATCTAGGTGGGTAAGAAGTGTAGTCGTAAATTTAAAATGTCAGTGCAATAACCGACACCCCGAGTTTGAATCGCCACTGTCTAGGGAGGCGCCACCATTATGGAGTTTTGTATGGGCAAAGCGCAATTTTGTGGCGCAGATATTGCGCTACAAAGTTGCGCTTTGCCATACATAAATGCGTCAAAAATTGCCTATATATTCGTAATCAGGGCGAAAATTGCGCAAGAAATAATTTTCTGTTTTTTGCCCGAGATATAGTCTAAACTCTAACCTAATTCACAAAGTATAAGGGCCATGTTTAAAAAGTACGGGGGCTACGCCCTGTTATATTCTGCACGACTACAGTACTGACAGGTAATCGTTTGTATAGGGCAATGCGACACGTGAGCGATCTGCCGAAGAGAATGCCTCCTGGGAGGACTTTTTATGGAAAACTGACCCTTATTTAGGTGCCAGTTTTCCATAATCACGTGGAGTTTTCTAGGTTTCTTCACGTTAGTAAGAAACCCAGAAAACTCCACTTGACCAATCCGTTGGCCAAGCGCGAACCCACAATCAACCTGTCAGTGTTCAGTGGTTTTATCCACCCGGCCACTGGTACTAGGTGGGTATTCTGGACCAAGGGTGGGCAACCTTTTTTATAACATGGGCCAGAATAAATTTTTCGTTTTTTCCGCGGGCCATAGAAGTTAATTGACACCTTGTGACCTGTAAATTTTTAGTCTGCAAATATGAAATAAATAAATAAAAAGAAATTAATTACTACAGTCGACCTCCCCTATAACACTGTTGATTATTCCGTTTTATATGAATTCCGTGTTGTATGAGTCACTTAGATTTTACAAATGCGTGTGCCGGGCTGTGAACGGCTCACCTATTTGTAAAATCTAAGTGAGTTTAAACACAATAAAAACATCACTATGTAGTTGGATACGACAGATATTACATTTTCTAATTGCATAGCTTTTGCACATAGATTTTCTTGATGGATGATGCGATGAGATATAAATAATTTAGAAAAATTCTGTTCTCCCATTTTTTGTTTGAATAAGGAAATGACTCCCTTATTTTTTCCTGTCATTGCTGCCACAACACTTCAGAAAATAATATTCAATTTAAACTAGACGAATTACATCGAAAAATATTTATTTATAATTTCTTCTAAACGTCTCGCGGGCCGGATAGAAACTTTTCGCGGGCCGTAACTGGCCCGCGGGCCGGGGGTTGCCCACCGTTGTTCTGGACCACAGTATGAATGACGCGTGGATACGAAGTAAGGTTCCTCAATAGGGGATCCGGTATGTTGAATCGGGATCGGGAATCCGGAATTTTGAATCGATAAAGGTTGCTACCGTATGCATACTCGTACTGTACCGTCTTCGATTTCCTATAGGTTTGTATTGAGTTAGAATGCTCTTTTTTTTAAGCGTTGTTTCCTCATATCTCGTTTCATATAAATGGCCGTCCAGCATTTAATTGTAAAAATAGATCAGAAGGTCCTAATAAAGTCAAACTTTTTGTATTTCTTAAAGATTCCTAAAAATTGTATTATCTAAAGAAAGAAATACACGGAAAAATAAATTGTCATTTATTTCCCATAGCTTCTGCCGTGTGTGCGAGAGATATGTGTTAACGCTTTATCTTTTATTATTAGTTTTGTTGTTTATATAATAAGTTATTCGCAATGTTGAGAAATGTAAACTTAAATCTGTAGTTTTCAGAAATTTCGAAGCAAAAACACATAGGCACACAAATACTACTTGAATCGGCCATACATATTATAAATAACGCAAATAAATTATTTTCCAATCATAAATGTTTAATTTTCTGAGAACTTTCATTAATTTACTCGTCTCTAAATTCAGAAATTTCCAACATTTTAAAGATGAGTTATTTTGTATAAATTATACATTTGCAGATGTTTCACTTAGACATTACTCGTATTTGTGCCATAGTTGAGTACAGTGACGTCGCAAGACATTCCCTTTCCTTGACTTTCGCGAAGTTATTCTCGTGAAAAGTATATCACAAGATAACTTTGTGATATTGTATATGAAACTACAAATATTCGACAAAATATGAAAGCCCATTGTGCGCTATGCTTTTAAAAGGAATGGATTGTTATAATTATATTTTATATTCTTAAACGACTATGTGAGAATTTGAATTGTGAACGTTCAAATGTCAAATATTAAATTGTCATCTTTCACTGTAAGCCTAGCTCCCATTCAAGTCTGAACAAAAACATTATCGCCTGGGACGATCTTGTTGTTAACAAGATCTCATTGTTCTTTTCCTTGAAACGAGGAATCCTTACTGAAAATTTGAAGTTTGATTCGTGGGTTTTGGAAGAATCGAGATGATTAGGCGACAAGATCTCTTCGAAAAAGTATCGAAGCCCGCTCCAAAAATGTGAGTCGGAATCACTTTGGAAAAATGTATTGAAAATATTCTGTGAAGAATTCTTCCCTATTTTGAAGATGCCACCCTTTTTGGACTTCAAGAAAAGAATTTTTCTGCTAGTGAACAGACTACTTGTGCCCATTTCCTGACAGATGAGATCTATCGCAAATTCTATTAAAATGTCGTCTCGGCTTAAGTGTTTTTACGAAAAATTTTTATGAACAGTTTGAGATTTTACTAGCAAATACTAATATATTAACTATTATATTCGAGAGTTGTCACTTTCCGCTGGACCTACGCGACATTAACCTTCAAATCAAAGTGACAAATTTTTAGGTTGAGATTTGTGTAATCATCCGCTCGCGCCTAAAATTTTTGAAAAAATAATTTCATATCGATAAAAATGTCAAAATTGCAATGAGACAAACTTTACAGCCAATTATATGTTTGCATTTATAAATATCACACGCAATTAATTTGTATAAAAATCGAATCATTTATTATTTAATAATTACATACATACATTGCTTATGTCGAATTCTGTTTTATACGATTTTATTTGAACTTGATTGCAAGAAAATGGCTTTCCTACATCCAAGTTCGTTCATTTTATAAAGGAAAAATTGGTTATAAATATATTTATTTATTTATTTATGATCAAAGTTATTAAATCTGCATAATTGAATTTATGTAAAGCTATTAATTTTAATCTTCATTTGCTAAAAAAAATCCTTTAATTTTGTACAAATATTGTTTTTTTTTATTTTTAAAGCATTGTAATAGGGTAACTGTACCAGTCCTTGCCATTTACAAAAAATTAAAATTTTTAAAATAAGTTAGTTAAACATGAAAATTATTCATCTTCCCCATCTGTTGTTAGAAAATTAAATTAAGAACACAATGTAAGAATTAATCCAAAGAGAGAACCACTGAGACTTTCATTTTTGAATTAGATTTTAATACATCAATTAGCTTGATGAAATTTTACAGTCATAAGTTATAAGTCAAAAGAAAATAAGTTAATCAAATTTGTACAGTATTTTAGAAAAAATCTTATTAGTCACTAATGATAATATAAATATTATAAATTAATTTTTAATTATATTTACATTTGATTTAAACTATACGTTATATCTTATTGTAGATGAAAATTACCGGAATTTTGTATACAATAGTAACAAAAAATATATGTTTTCTAATATTTTTAAAACTAGTTATCAATAAAGTAAAAGTTCATCTTTCAGTATGGCTTTTTGTATAAAGTTTCTCGACATATAAAACCTAAAACAGACTTATAATGTCATGAATTCGTGAATTCTTAATCAGTCGAAAATTAATATAATTATCGTTTAGAATATCTTACTACACGATTTTCTTGTACAGATATTATCATCGTAATTGTCTGATAATCATTAAGTTTAATCAGTAATTTCAATATACATCCGAACATTATAAATAGGGGAAGGTAGGGCAAATCGTAGTACTTACGGAAATTTGTAAATTTTTTCATTGAAAATTAACGAAAAAGGAACATAATATGGATCATTATGAAGATTGACTTGTCTGTTACTTATGTTTTATACCGCACAGCGTAATTCTTAACACATTATTAATTAATGTGCTAAAGAAAGAAATCTTAAAAAAACCCATTTTGCCTCACGGGTATGGCAAAACAGAGTATGAAACTATATGATAAAAACATTGTTTGTTTTACATCACTTATTTAATAAATATTTTACTTTATTAAATAAACAGAGCATATTAAACATAAATCACTTTTTCTCACTTCAAATTAGTTTTCACAAATAAATGAACAATCATTTTCATCTGCCCCTGCACATATACAGTACCCAACTCTGGCATTGAATGCATGTAATCCAACCTTCTCCACTCGCAGATTCAGCATAAAAACCACAGCTACATAGTCACTGTTTATCCAGGATGCCAGGTCTATTGTATTATGAGCAAAACGTAAACCTACCCTGTTTTGCCCTGAGTCACCCATTTTGAAAAAATATTTACCACGCGAGAACTGACGCGACAATGTAAACGAAATTTAGATGCTTAAGAACGGTTAATTTCTGTACTATTCCACAAAATTCCCATTATGCCATTATCAGTATGCTCTCAATACTTTTGTGAAAAAATACACAGGGCTTATTTTTTTGAACAGAGGCAGAAAAGTAAAGAATACAACCCTTTCGAATATGACTACTGTAATCCTAAACTGAAGCTGTTCATACGCGTTATTCATTGGCGCTTTCCTTACACAGATGGAGGTGACTGTTTACGAAAAAAAGAACCATTTTTCCTTTTGCTCTATCTTTCCCTACTATGATCTATTATTTACTTAAAATATAAAAATTCATCTTAAAAAGACTCAAAAGTACCTTAATTCCTTTCATTTCTCGTACTTCGTAAGACATTCCAATAGTAAAGACACTGGCTATATCCGGAAATTCGTCGGCCAACGATTCCATAAAACGATAGATCTACAAACAATACTTAATTTTCATTTTGTTTCAAAATTTTACATAAGAAAGCTCAATTCATCCATACTTTACCTCATTCAACGTTTGATATTTATCGAAAAAAGTAGGAGAAACTCGACCGGTTAGTTCTTCTGCGTCACGTCGTTCATCTTCAAAGATTCTGTTCGTAAGTTAATAACCAATTAATACGAATTTAAATTCGTATAAATAAGTTCACGCACGTGTAATATAAAATATGCAGCGGTGTCGATCTTTTAGAATCTACAGTATTTACATTTAATTTAATAAATTTAAAACGTTATCGTTCCATATAAATCTAATACTTATCACTTAAAATATTAGGAAAATTTATTATTGTACTACTGTAATATTGGAAAATTTATTGACGTAATTATTTCTTTTACGACTATAAAAAGCAATTTTTTCAATTCATATGTTCTTCATTTAATAAATTAAAATATATTTTGATTTTGGGTAATTACAGTAGTCTGTACTTTACGATAATATTGACAAGTTAGCGATCAGCTCTTTAGAGAGACAAGATGGCCGCCAGGAATGGCAACATGAGTAAATAGAAAAATAACTGGGGAAGAGCTGGCAACTAGGAATTGCAACTTTCTCGGCAAAGGGAAAGATTGAAACTCGACTATGTGGTTAGCCCCAACTACAGCTACATTCATTATTTTGTATACATTTGCCATCTTTTTCTCTGTACATATTAAATAAAAATGGCATAATCTACAATCTTTCAAGGTAACAACCAACATATTCTAATTGTAATATCTAGGATTTCTCAAACGGGATCCCAGTTGTTTTTTTTAACCCGGAAAACCCGCAAATTTCTTTTAAAAAATTTACTTTTTTCTTATTTTGTGTTAAAGTTGAGAACATTTTGAAAATATAAATTTATAATTAACTCATAAACTTTCAGAATACATTTGTATTTATTAATTTTAAACCTACTTATTAGATTTTTAAATTTTTACTCGTTATGGCATGTCACAAATGGTCAATAATCAATACGTAACTTATTTGCGGCAGGACTCTGAAAATTCTTTACTTGTCAGAACCTGTAATATCTGGAATAATTGTACTTACGCTGTCTTAATTTTTAACCATGCCCAGTAGCTTCGATAACTGCGTAACGCCAGGTTGTGCAAATTTGGCAAGGATACAAACGAGTACGAAGTCTGCAAGTATGAAGGTTTTCTTCATAAACCTGATTATTAAAGACGAACGGACTGCCGAATTACCGGGCTATAAGCTTGATGTTTCTATTAAAGCAGCCGCAGTAGACAAATCAAGCATACTAGAGAGCAAAAGAAGTATTACAATCTCGAAAACGAACTAGAAATCTTAAGGCTACGGGTGAAAAAACACATAACATCTGTCTTCTCTTAAATGCATTAAAGACGATTCCACCCACATCAATTGAATCGGAAAGAACATTCTCGGTAGCGGGACTTTTCATTAGTTAAATAAGAACCAGATCGAGTGATTGGAGCATTGACAATCTTTGCTTTTTAAAATCTTATAATAAAAATTTACAATAATATTTTGTATTATGTTTTATTTAAAAAAAAATAAAAAAACGAAAATTACCCTTTAAGTTAGAAGTCTGATCTAAGTTCATTTTTTTTTAATTTTCAATTCAATTCAAAGCATTTCTTGTTGTATGCAGTTTCCAGCAAACTTTAATAAATTTTTTCTATTTTTGTGAAAATTTCTGCGTAATTCAAAGGACATTTTTAATATGATTTTGGAAGCTGCAGAACGTATTAAATTACTTTAAAAAATGAAAAATAATTATATCATTTTCGAGATATTTTGTATATCTTAAAAATAATTAATTTTATTCTGGGAAACCGTTCACTTTTATCCCGGAATCCCGGGACAAGCAAAAGACCGGGAAATGAGAAACACTAGTAATATCTGAATTTTTCATTAACTACAGCAGCAAGGACTCCGGGTCCCTCGGCCCCTCCCCTAACCATCCAATCTTTTTATTTGAGGGAAGTTTTTCCATATTCCTTTTCCATATATGTCCTTACAAAGAAACGAAGAAATTTACTTAAAGAAATCGTTTCGGATCCTTATAACGGTCCGGACCCTTATAATGTCTTTCCCCTTTCGTCAGGGCTGCTAGCGATAGGCTTACAACGCCTATTATTAAGACACACTTCAAATAAAAACTGAAATTTTTTCTTCAGCCATATATTATCGATTGGCGTCATTATTCAATTAAAATTATTCTACTATTTTATATCTTGCTAGTGTATGCAGGACCGGATCAAAGGACTTTGTAGGCCCTACTTATTCAGGAGTCGTGGGCTTCTGCAAAATAGATGCTTACCTTTCAACTCTGTAAGATTATTGTTGTTATTACGTTATAAAAAAGAAAAAATTCTTTAAAATAAACTTTTTTTTTAAATTCTCTGTTGAGACATAAAAATATTGCCGTAAAAGAACCGTAAATAAGCCATAATTTAAGTATGATTTTGATGAGGATATTTTCTATTATTTTCTTATCGGTAAAATAATATAAATTTTAGATATTAAAAAGTAATTAATAGCAACTTTTATAAGATATTAGATTTTTTTCATGTTTTTATTAATTTTATCTAATTTTTAATTTTGTATATGTTAGTTGTTACTTTCTTTAAGGTCATCATAAAAAAAATGCTTAAAGACAGAGATTAAATGCTTCAAATAAGTAAATTATAAATTACCATTTTAAGATAATAATGGGAAAGGATGCATCATCGATAAAGATTAAATGCAATTATTGTTTCAAATTATAATTTAAAAACTTGCTATATAAGTTTATGCAAAAACTAAACAACGTTTAAGTGGTACGTATGTTGTACCACTCATTTTTAATAACGTATACAATATGTCTATTGTCATCAATAAGGTCAAACGTCTGTTTTAAATACGTTCTACTCACGACTACGAATTTAAAAANCAATATATTGAAAAAGTTACTAATAAAAATTTTAAAACTCAATTGTAGGCCTATATTCTTCTACCACACACACACACACACACACACACACATATAGATCATTGGTAAACTTATATAAAGAATAAAGAAATATTTATTTTTAAAGGAGCCATTCTCCCGATATAATTCTTAAATAAAATACTAATTTTTTAATAGTTTTATATAAATAGTGGTTTAATTTATATCTAACTTGTAAGTATTAATAATTCCGTCGTTTAAAAGTTATAATTTCAGAAATTTCTTTTATAAACTTTCAGATTTTTGAGAAATGTTTTAAATTATTTTATACAAAAGTCTTTCCTCCATAAAATTAGATTTTTAAAATTCCTAAAAAAAAGAAACTAAAAAAATAAACGGAATATTCTTAAACTTTCAGAATTTTTAGAATAAATTTTTAAAACATTTTCTTTGTATTAATAATAGTAATAAAGTCATACATAGAAAATGATTAGTAGACAAATTCTTAAGATTTTTTAAAGTAAATTTATATTCGAATATTTTGAAATAAAAATAATTTTAATAGAAGTAAGAATAAATCGTGCTCATTTGATATAATTTTATATGAATTAGTAATATTTAAAATACTATAATAATTTAATAAATTATTTATTTTTATTTTCTATACAATTATATAAAAATATGTCTTTAACGTATACATTTTATCAAGTTGTAATCAATAGAAATTTTTTCTGATTTTCGACTATAAAATATTATAAAAACAATTTAAATTCTCCGGGATTTAGAGATGGAAATGGTATTTTTAAAAATTAATTTATAAAAATGATAAATAAATAAAATAACTTACCCATGATAGGTCTTAACACGATGATCGTGCCACGTTCCAACGCAAAATACAATACAACTTAATAGGATTAAGATTTTGTCAATCATAATGCCGAATGAATTGTGCGAGATAGAGGACTATAAAACAGTATTTATACAAATTTCGAGCGAGTGATAATTGGTAAATGCGACGATAAATAAAAGATAAGAACTATTTATAAATGACAAATTTATGGATCNTTTCAACTCTGTAAGATTATTGTTGTTATTACGTTATAAAAAAGAAAAAATTCTTTAAAATAAACTTTTTTTTAAATTCTCTGTTGAGACATAAAAATATTGCCGTAAAAGAACCGTAAATAAGCCATAATTTAAGTATGATTTTGATGAGGATATTTTCTATTATTTTCTTATCGGTAAAATAATATAAATTTTAGATATTAAAAAGTAATTAATAGCAACTTTTATAAGATATTAGATTTTTTCATGTTTTTATTAATTTTATCTAATTTTTAATTTTGTATATGTTAGTTGTTACTTTCTTTAAGGTCATCATAAAAAAAATGCTTAAAGACAGAGATTAAATGCTTCAAATAAGTAAATTATAAATTACCATTTTAAGATAATAATGGGAAAGGATGCATCATCGATAAAGATTAAATGCAATTATTGTTTCAAATTATAATTTAAAAACTTGCTATATAAGTTTATGCAAAAACTAAACAACGTTTAAGTGGTACGTATGTTGTACCACTCATTTTTAATAACGTATACAATATGTCTATTGTCATCAATAAGGTCAAACGTCTGTTTTAAATACGTTCTACCCACGACTACGAATTTAAAAACGTTATTAAAACAATGGTGATTTCATTAGTTTATATGTTATATAATATTAAGATAACGAATATCTAGTCCAAAAATCTGTCGTCTCGTTGAATTTAGCAGGCAAAGCAATCGCCTAAAAAGTACAGGCAAACGTTTCATGTTTGAAATATGACAGTTTCTCCGATATTATGATCAATAGTTATAATTAAAAAACTGGCGTGTCAACGTCAATTAGATATGCAGAAGTTTGTTTAATATCGGACAGGTGTCGACTAACTTCTACTTGTTAAGTAACTTGTATCGATATTTAATTAAAAAAAGAAATAAATAAAAATTGCTAAAGATGACATTTAAAATCGTAATTTTTATTATATATTGCATAAATTTTTAAATTATACGACTATTCTCATAAAAGACAGACCCGTACACAATTTTTTAAAAGGAGGGGTTTAAAACCTACGTTATGAAAATATTTTATTAGTTTTTTACAATAGGAGGATATGAATGGATACAAAATAAGAATGTTATATAAAATGTGCTGTTTA